GTGAGTTTTGGCCCGTTTTATTGTTCTTGTTGTTAAGTGAATCATTGCGTTGGTTGAATTAGCTCAGCTGAAATTTGCTTTGGTCCTCGGCTTACGGCCACAACGGACCCCCCCCCGAAGTCTTCTCTTGCTAAGGGAGGCTATTGTTAAGTGAATCTTGCCCCTTTCTACGACCTTTCTCGCCACAGCTGTTAAGTGAATCGCTACAGGTTAGTAACACCGTTGTTAACTATAATCTGGTTTCCTCGTTGAATTTGCCTGTCGACCGGTCGCAAAAGCGGATCGCGTGACCTTACCGGGACACTGCGACCGTCATAACTACGAGTCAGTTGCCAAGCGTCCGGATTTTGATCCTGCAACGGTCGTAAGTGTGGGAAAAAACGGTCCTATGTCCCTTTTTTTTGGTCCTATTGAACGGTTGCTAAATGAAGTGTTTGAACAGTCGTTAAATGAACAGTCATAAGTCGAGGAGTACCTGTGTAGCATCCAATAATTGTTCCCTTGGAGAAGGACGTTCTGAGTGTCTCAATTCCCTTTTGAGAGTCTTTTTTTGTGTGCAAATGTTTACATTCTTTGGAAGTTTGTCCCTCTCGGAAAAATGTAATTTTTCTCTACTTTAAAAACACCCAAAAAACACACAGAAAAAAATTAAAAATACTCCAGGGATTTGCGGCATGGATTAATCACCATCCTAATTCATAAGCTATAGAGGACCGTCACGAAACAACGGCTTCTACAGCTAGTCCTCAACCTACGACCACAAGGGAGCCCCAACATTGATGTCGCTAAGTGAGTGTGGCTTCACTTTGCGACGTTTCTTGTTCTGTGAACCACTGCCGTTGTTAAAACCACCAAGCAAATCGGCAGAAGGTCCCAAAAGGTGCGGGGAGGGAAATCGCGTGACTCCCCGGGACACTGCGTCCGTCATAAATACGAACCGGTCGCCAAGCGTCCAAATTTTGATTGCGTGAGTCACGCCGCATCCCGCCGCAAACGCGAACCAGCAGGGCACAAGCGTCCAGATTTTGATCACGGGGAATTTGCTGCCAAGGTCGTAAGTTTGAAACGGCCCCGAGTCACTTTTTCGGTGCCGTCATAATTTCAAACGGACACTAAACGAACTCGCAAATCCGCAATGACTTGGATTGAACTGATGCTTACGATGATTTAAACCAGTTTTTCTTGGAGAAGTCTGTAGAATGTTCTTAAAACACCCCACTCCCCAAAAAAACCCCGGCAAAAGCTGCACACACATTTCTCGCAGGTTGTGTGTGTCAATGCCTTTTTGTGTTGACAAGCGCAACCCACTCGGATTCCAGGCGAAATGGCACGCAACCCACACAATTCTTCGGACACACAATGCTCGCCTTGCTTCCAAGCTCAAAGGTTAACCCCATTAGCATGCAACTCAGGTTCTCTCTGGCAACAAAGCCGGTGTGTGCGTGTGGGGGGAGATTCAAAGGGGGTGTGTGTGTTGTGTGTCTGTGTGGTGTGTGTGTGTGTGAGCGCACGCAGAGGGCCAGGAATGCCTTTGTGCACCAGCCACTCGGGGACGAGTGCAAGTTTTTTTTCTCCCCTGGGTTGGGTTGGTGATAATATTTTTCTTCCCAAACCTGGTTGGAAGTTTCCATCGTGGTTTGTTTTGGTGTGCGACACGACAAACACAGGTTTGCAGGGTGGGGGATTGTGGGGAACGGGAAGAGGGGAGCGAAGGGGAATACCCTGGACCCCCAATTTTTGGTGGGGGGGATTCCGAGGGACCCACCCAGGGCGTTGGCCGAGATGGAGAAAATCTGGGAATTGCCACTGGAAGGCGAAATCACAATCGGGACAATTTTTATCTCCACCACAACGACACACAATTCGGTGGTCGGGTTTTGTGAAGAAGTTTTGCACGATTCAAGAAATAAAGGCAGAAGGAGGCGACCTCAAAACTTGGAGAAGACTTAAATATTTATAATATTGCATTAATGATAGTATATGGTACGATATTGTGTACACACAACACACACACACATGCATATTATGGTATGTACACAATCGAAGTTGAATTGCTATGTAGACACACACCGCCTAGCTAAGGGTCTCCTGGTGGTCACCCATCCTGGGAAGAGTCCAGCTCCCCATACTCCCAGGGGCTTCCAAAGCGGATGCAAACGCTTCAGTCATCTGGACTTGTTGGTCAGTTTTCACCTCTGGATCTCTTGGTGGTCACCCATCCTGGGAAGAGTGCAGCTCCTATACACACACACCCTGGGGGCGGGGGGGGGGGCTGACCAAACACCCCTGTTTTTCCCAGCACCCACCTCTGGCTACCTCGTGATCTCCAGCTCCCATTCTTGGGGGAAGGGTGGGCTGCCTGAGTGCATCCAAACGTTCCTATTGTCCCCTCTACTGCTTAGCTCTCATCTCTGCCTCTCCAAGTGGCCTCCCATCCTCGCAAGGCTCCAGCTCCCATTCTCTCAGGGGGGCTTCCCGAGCGCATCCAAACGCTCCTATTTCCCCCTCTACTATTCACCTCCCATTCTCCCAGGAGGGCTTCCCGAGCGCATCCAAACGCTCCTATTTCCGCCGTCTGCTGTTCTCCTATTTGATTTCCCCCCGTCTGCTGTTCAGCTCCCATTCTCCCGGGGGAGCTTCCCGAGCGCATCCAAACGCTCCTATTTCCCCGTTTATTATTCAGCTCCCATTCTCCCGTGGGGGGGGGGTGGTGTGCTTCCCAAGAACATCCAAACGCTCCTATTTTCCGGTCCATCGCTCAGCCTCCCCCCCCCCAGCTCCCATTCTCCCAGGGGGGCTTCCCGAGCGCATCCAAACGCTCCTATTTCCCCCCCCCCCTACTATTCAGCTCCCATTCTCCCAGGGGGGCTTCCCGAGCGCATCCAAACGCTCCTATTTCCACCGTCTACTGCTCAGCTCCCATTCTCCCAGGGGGCTTCCTGAGTAAATCCAAACGCTCCTATTTCCCCGTCTACTGCTTAGCTCCCATTCTCCCAGGAGGGCTTCCCGAGCGAATCCAAACGCTCCTATTTCCCCCGTCTACTGTTCAGCTCCCATTCTCCCAGGAGGGCTTCCCGAGCGCATCCAAACGCTCCTATTTCCACCGTCTACTGCTCAGCTCCCATTCTCCCAGGGGGGCTTCCCGAGCGCATCCAAACGCTCCTATTTCCACCGTCTACTGCTC